GCCCCCCCCCCCCCATGTTTTGCATGTCTCCTTAATCAAACACACCTGATTCAGATCTTCAGCTCATTAGTACAGACTCCAAGACCTGAAATGGTCAGACAAAGGAGAGATGCAAAATATGCAGTTGAGAGGACCTCCGGGATCTATACGTTTCAAATTAAAGCATGGTTGTTTTATTGTAAAAGAAAGTGAATGATGTTAATAGGCTCAGTCTTGAGATAGCATATGTAGAATGTAACAGTGTGTGTGTAGTGTTAGTTTGGCAGGGTTCTGTGGTTGTGGTTTGAGTCAACATCCTGAATTTTGACCTCCACTGACTCCCACTCTCCAGTGCGATTTGACCGTTTGATAGCATCTATAACCGTCTGTACATACAGCCCATCCTCGAAGGAGGCTGCCATGGAAACAGGATGCCGCACCCAAGAGCGCCTGTCCTCTTGTGCCTGAAACGAGAGTCTGAGCTGGGTCACCATGCCGTTCAGTCCCCTGACAGATGGCCCAACAGCTTCTCCACCATCGCTCAAAAGAAGCTCCTCTACTTGCATGCTGGCCCGGTGGCCGTACAGCTCTGTTCCTCGAGCAACAAGTCGTCCTGATGACCCCACAAGCATGATCTCATGCACATCTGTGCCAGGTAGATTGAAGTTTAATGTCATGCTGCAAACCACGCCTCCATTCATCAGCAGCTGAAAGCAAGCGTAGTCATCTGCAGTCACAGAACGAATCCCTCCCACTGGGCCACCTTGACGTACGAAAGTCCGGAGCATTCCATGCACTCGCACAGCCCGACGTCCCGTGAGGTGGCTCAGGAGGTCAATGATGCAGGAGCCAACTGTATGCAGGCCACCTCCCCCCATCAGCTCCTCCCATGCCCATCCATATGATTGGCTGAGCAGCGAGCCCCGCCCCCCCCCCCCCCATGTTTTGCATGTCTCCTTAATCAAACACACCTGATTCAGATCTTCAGCTCATTAGTACAGACTCCAAGACCTGAAATGGTCAGACAAAGGAGAGATGCAAAATATGCAGTTGAGAGGACCTCCGGGATCTATACGTTTCAAATTAAAGCATGGTTGTTTTATTGTAAAAGAAAGTGAATGATGTTAATAGGCTCAGTCTTGAGATAGCATATGTAGAATGTAACAGTGTGTGTGTAGTGTTAGTTTGGCAGGGTTCTGTGGTTGTGGTTTGGGTCAACATCCTGAATCTTGACCTCCACTGACTCCCACTCTCCAGTGCGATTTGACCGTTTGATAGCATCTACAACCGTCTGTACATACAGCCCATCCTCGAAGGAGGCTGCCATGGAAACAGGATGCCGCACCCAAGAGCGCCTGTCCTCTTGTGCCTGAAACGAGAGTCTGAGCTGGGTCACCATGCCGTTCAGTCCCCTGACAGATGGCCCAACAGCTTCTCCACCATCGCTCAAAAGAAGCTCCTCTACTTGCATGCTGGCCCGTTGGCCGTACAGCTCTGTTCCTCGAGCAACAAGTCGTCCTGATGACCCCACAAGCATGATCTCATGCACATCTGTGCCAGGTAGATTGAAGTTTAATGTCACACTGCAGACCACGCCTCCACTCATCAGCAGCTGAAAGCAAGCGTAGTCATCTGCGGTTACAGATCGAATCCCTCCGGCCGGGCCACTCTGACATACGAACGTCCGGAGCATTCCATGCACTCGCACAGCCCGACGTCCCGTGAGGTGGCTCAGGAGGTCAATGATGCAGGAGCCAACTGTATGCAGGCCACCTCCCCCCATCAGCTCCTCCCATGCCCATCCATATGATTGGCTGAGCAGCGAGCCTCCATAAACACGTGCTTCACATACCTTTGAAAATGAGAGAAAAAAAAATATTTACTGGAGTTCATATTTTGACCAGTCTAAGTTATGTAATAAGGTAACATATGACCTAATATAGAGAAGTTAAGATGCTTACCATTTTAAGAATGGCTTACATTATTATTATTTATGCACAATTTTAACTAAATCCAACAAAAATATCTACATAGTTGACTTTATATAAAATAGTAAAAAATGGTTTCATGTTTTGCAAGTAGTATTACCAAAGCTATTTATTTGGTCAAAAAAACAGTTACCTTGTGAAATAACATATTTTAACTGTTATTAAATAGTATTATGTTAATAAATATCGTTTTAATATATTTTAATCATTTAGCAAATGCTTTTATCCAATACTGGATATAAGAAGATGTTTTTAGCCACTATTTTTAAATATTGTTTATTACTCCAGTCTTCAGTGTCGCATGATCCTTCAGAAATCATTCTAATGTGCTGATTTGGTGGTCTAGAAACATTTCTTATTATTATCAGTGTTTGAAAGAGCTTCCAATTTTTTTGTAGAAAAACCATGATACATTTTTTTCAGGGATTCCTTAAATAGAAAGTTCAGAAGAACAGCATTTATTGGTATTATATTTAATCTTAACATTTTTGTCATTATATAAATATCATTATATACACTATATTATATACAATAAATAATCTGTTTTGTATTGCTGTGATGGCAAAGCTGAAATTTCAGCAGCCAGTATTCTAGTCTTCAGAGTCACACGATCCCAAGATTTTTATTTCAAATAAATTCTGTTAAAAATCAGCATATAAGAATGATTTATAGCAGGGGTGCCCAAACTCGGTCCTGGAGGGCCGGTGTCCTGCAGAGTTTAGCTCCAACCCTAATTAAGCACACCTGAAGCTAATCAAGGTCTTACTAGGCATACTAGAAACTTTGTAGCAGGTGTGTTGAGGCAAGTTGGAGCTAAACTCTGCAGGACACCGGCCCTCCAGGACTGAGTTTGGGCACCCCTGATTTATAGCATCCTTGCTGAATAAAAGTATTAATTTCTTTCAAAAACAATCTTACTGACCCCAAGTTTTTAATTGAATGTATACACCTATTTTTATTTTTTGGGTGAAATTCCAATACCTGCAAGTTTCCACAATAACCCTCTCCCAGCAGGCGTTTCATCTGGACAAATGCGGGCAAGAAGCGCAAGGAATTTCCCATGATACTCATAAGCTGTGGATAATATCTTGCCGCTGTCACCATCTTACAGGCATCTGTCAGTGTAGCTGCCTGCTCACTGATCACATTTTTACCTATACCTATAGAGAATGAGAAAAGAGCAGAAAATGATTATATAACGATGACCAAAACTGCAAATGTTGTTTGCCTGACAAGTTTCTGCTTGAAGCAAGTGCTTTATCAGCATAATCTCGACTGTGCTGAGGGGTTCACTGTGATCTAAGAATGCAACATTTGATCAGCAGGAAAAAAAGCCCACTGTGGTTTGTGCCAAGTTAAAGGGGTCCTATTATGCTCTTTTACAAAGACTTGATTTTGTTTTGGGGGTGTACTAGAACATGCTCTCATGCATGGTGGTTCGAAAAACGCATTATTTTTCTCATAATTTACATTATTAATATACCTTTCTCCCCAGCCTGGCACAAACGGCTCGATTAGTTCCGGCTTTGATGAAGGTTCGCCTTCCGAAAAACAAAATGTGATGTGATTGGTTAGCTTTCCCAGTGCGTTGTGATTGGCGAACAGCTTAGACTGTGTTTCAGTACTGCCACGCCCCTTTGCTCCGTCTTTCAACAAAAGCTTTTGGTGAATCCGGCACTGTACTCCCTCATGTTGTGGAAGCTGTCCTCAGTAAAATGTGCAGCACATAATAGCAAATTGGGGTTATAATTTTAAAAAATTAGGCCAAGGTCACAAGATCTCAAGGTTCTAGACGGGGTATATACGGAAGCAGCAAATCATTTAAGTATGGAGTTAAAAAATAAATTGCAACCACGGTTTCCTGACATCATCCGCTTTCGGAAGCCCAAACAAAGACGTTTGGGCACGGAGGTGAAAAAAACAGTGTTTCAGGCGGTCGCACACCGGATGAGAAGTGCAGCGTCGCATCGCACCACGTCTTTAAAATTCAAATACTTTATTTTCTATAGGCACACCGGTGGCGCCCAGCTACGTCGTGTTATACTTGTAAGAATTGTTCTAGACATGCCGAAAATTTTACGCTACAGCACAGCAGCTCTTCTTCTTGGTTTTCTCTGATACACTAACTCTGCAGCAGCACTTCTTCTTCATCGTCTTGTCTGATGCACTCACTAAAAAAAGTGTTGTGACGTGGCGAAGTATGGTGACCCATACTCGGAATTAGTGCTCTGCATTTAACCCATCCAAAGTGCACACACACAGCAGTGAACACACACACACCGTGAACACACACCCGGAGCAGTGGGCAACCAAGCGTTCTAACCACAACCTTGCCCCTCCCCACCCCCCCAACCATTCGAATTTCTGTAGGTGGGAATTATTTGTAATGATATTCCAATGAACCGCTTTGTGATATCACAAAGCCCGGAAAACAAACGCTGTAGTCCAAACGAGTCGTTCGTTGTAATTCTTGAAAAGGGATTTTTAAAGTGGTCATATGACGTGATTTACATTTTTCCTTTCTCTTTGGAGTGTTACAAGCTCTTGTAGCTCAAGCATAAAGAAGATCTGTAAAGTTGCAAAGACTAAAGTCTCAAATCCAAAGAGATATTCTTTATTAAAGTTCAGAGTCAGCCACACCTACCTAAAACGGCTCGTTCTAACACGCCCCCACATATCTACCTCACTATGTGGGAAGATTTGCATAACGCCACCCAAATGTTCACGCAAAGAAAGAAGGCGTAACTTTTATTCTCACTGTAGTATTGTTGACGCTGCAGCCATGTCGTGAAGACGCTGTGTGCTTAGTTGTGAAAGCGAAACTACTTTGTTTGGTCTTCCAAAAGAGGACGATATCCGCTTCGTCATGCCTAGAGCTGATCTGTGCTGGTCGCTGAGGGAATACATCAACTTTCACCGTGGACAAAGCGGAAGTCCAGTCCGGGGTCCGTCACATGTGGTTGCCGCATCCGCCGGGCGCGCCGTTCTCGACTCCGCCGCCTCAGCTCACTCTATCCCGGCCTCAGCGCACGCTAAGCCGGGGCTTCCGCTAGACCGCTGTGTTTTCAGTTGTGAAAGCAAAACTACTTTGTTTGGTCTTCCAAAAGAGGACATGACTACAAATAAGTGGTCAAGTTGTATTTACAACACTGTTCCAGAATAGTTTAACCCAAATATCCAGATGTGTGCAGCACACTTTATGGAGGACTGTTTACTGATCCTGGGAGAGTAATGTTAGACTACAATGCCGGCAGTTCTGACTCACGTAAGTAAGTTTTCATTGAAAGGATTTGCCACTGATGATTCAAATGCGAGTTTTGGGCAGTAGAGTAGCACTTGTTGTTTGTCATTTCTCCAATCATAAATGCAGACAGAGTTTTGCGTTTACGCGGCGCGATGCAACGCGTAAAAAGACAGTACAAGTCATTATAATCAGTAATTATGTCCCCACTGGATGCAACAAATGCCTCGTTTATAATGGGTTTTAATGTTGTCTCGTCGCTCCAGCCGGACACGGCATCAACAGTATGGTGAGGGGCGTAACATTTCCATCTCACGCTTGAGGTATTCGGCCAATCACAACGCATTGGATAGCTGGCCAATCACAGCACACCTCGCTTTTTCAGACTGATGAGCTTTGTAAAAATTGACACGTTTCAAAAAGGCGGGGCATAGAGGAGAAACAATAATGTACAGTATGTGGAAAATAATGTGTTTTTTGACCTAACCCTAACCCTAACATTTAATTACACCAAATACACAAAATAATGTTCTTTTTAGCAGCATCATATGACCCCTTTAAAAAACGAAATATCTCCCTTTGGAGTGGACTTTGAGATTTGTAACTTTCTAGATCTTTTTTATGCCCAAACATACACACTACACGCGGACTAAAATTAAAAAAGTGAAAAAGCATAATAGGACCCCTTTAAGTAACCAGTAGCACAGTAAACAGTCTAGTTGAGTCCAGGAAGGAACCCAACCCAATCCCCTGAGACGACACGGACAATCAAGATAAGAAGCAAAAGAAAATAAGTCTCACCTAGAGCTTTTACCGCAATCTGGCGTGTGTGTGGAGGTGGTGTCAATATGCAGACAAGATGGACTTCTGGATGTAACAGCACGTCATCTGTCTTGTTGGTGGAAAAGGGAATGTTCAACTCGAGATGAAAAGAGACACCATATTTTTTTTAAGTCGAAGCCAAGGGGAACAAATACATTGAAAACAACACAGGTCCAAGGATCGAACCTTGCGGAACACCCCAACCAAGAGGAATGTCAGTAGAAACACAAAGCCCTATTTGAACAGTAAAACACTTATTTGACAAATAAGAGCAAAACCATTGTAAAACTATACCACAAAGTCCTACACAAGACTCCAGGCGTGACAGAAGAATCTTGTGGTTGACTAAGTCAAATGCAGCACTTAAGTCTATGAGGATAAGTGCCATGGGTTTTCCCTGAATCTGTCATGAGAAATATGTAATTTAAGGGCATATTCAGTGCTATGAACTTTAAAACTTGATTGAAGTACTTCATTAATAGAGTTATCTGACAAGAAAGACTGTAGTTGAACCAGTACAACTTTCTCCATAATCTTTGAAATAAAAGGAAGATTTGAGATGGGCCGAACATTGGAAAGATGTAGGATCGAGGTTCGTTTTTTTAAAGATACGGTGTTACAGTAGCCTGTGTAAGGCAAACTGGAACAGTACCAGTTTGTAAGCATTTATTAATTACTGATAACAGACTTGGGCCAACTGCATCCATAATTTGTTTAAGGAAAAACGGAGGAACTATATCATGGACATGATGTAAGCTTGAGATGATCCATCATTTCCTTTGTGGCTTTGTTCCTTTCCTTTCAGTGACTCCCTAGATCTCGCTCTCTTTATATGCTGCAAGCATAGGCTACATAATAAATAGCTATTATTGGTCATATTATTTTGAAGGGCTATTAATAAATTAAATACTATTAGGCTATATATTTTTTGTAGGCTATCTATTCTCAGTTGCTCATGCTGCTACTGTTATGTAATGCCTAGGGCAGCTTTCCTAAACAAGGCATTCTTTGAAAATGTTTGGTTCGTTTTAATCAAATATCACAGATGCTAGTTCAAGAATCACTGTAATTGTCCAGTTAACTAGACATTATAAAGGTTAACACACTCGAACCAGTGATGTAAAGGTTAAAGGAAACAGTGTGTCATTATAACGCTGTTATTTAAGTATTTGTATTTTTAGTATATGTTTTACGTATTCCTATATATTTGTTTTATATGTTCTGTTTTTAATGTTTCCATTTCGTTCGGTATAAATGGTACCATTCAAAGCACGCTCTTATATTGGTTTACAAAGGATGAAACAAGTCCAATTTTTTAGCATACAAACATCTCCTTTCAAGATTTCTGACAGAGTGAAAATAATTATCAGAAGAGTTGTCCAAGAGCCAAGGATCACTTGTGGAGAGCTTCAGAAAGACCTGGAATTAGCATGTACAATTGTTTCAAAGAAAATAATAATTACAATAAGTAATGCACTCAACCGCCTGTATGCACGCTCACCACGCAAGGCTCTATTGCTGAGGAAAAAGCATGTTGAAGCTCGTTTAAAGTTTGCTGCACAACATTCAGACAAGCCGGTGAAATACTGGGAGAATATAGTCTGGTCAGCTGAGACAAAAAGTGTACTCTTTGGATGCCATAATACACACCATGTTTAGAGGTCAAATGGCACAGCACATCACCCCAAAACATCATGGTGTAGCACTGGCAAAATTCATATAAATGAAGGAAGGATGAATGGAAAAATGTACCGAGACATTCTTGATAAAAATTCTGCTGCCATCTACCAGGATGATGATGATGAAACAAGGGTGGACATTCCAGCAAGACAATGATCCCAAATACAGCCAAGGAAACTATCATTTGGTTTCAGAACAAGAAAGTAAAGCTGCTAGAATGGCCCAGCCAATCACATGACTTGAATCCAATAGAAAATCTATGGAAAGAACTAAAGATCAGAGTTCATAGAAGAGGCCCATGGAACCTTCAAGATTTGAAGATTGTGGAAGAATGGGCCAAAACCACACCTGAGCAATGCATGCCACTAGTTTCTCCATTCAGGAGGCGTCTTGAAGCTGTCATTAACAACAAAGGCTTTAGTACGAAGTATTAAATACATTTCAGTAAGCGTGTTCAATACTTTTTCCCTGGGTTGTTCCATTTTTTTTTTTTTACATAGAACTTAATTTCTGAACTTATTTGTATTGTTTTCTTTGTAAGTATGCATTACTTGGGTTGTTACCGACGGCATTAAATTGATCAAAAGTGACAGTAAATACATTTATAATGTTACAAAAAAAGATTATTAAATTATGCTGTTCTTTTAAACCTCATTTTCATCAGACATTCCTGATAAAAAATGTTTCACAATTTTCAAAAATATTAAGCAGCACAAATTTTTTTTAACTGATAATAGTAAGACATTTTTCTTGAGCACCAAATCAGCATTTTAGAATGATTTCTGAAGGATCATATGACAATGAAAATATAGGAGTAATGGCTGCTGAAAGTTCAGCTTTACCATCACAGGAATATATTAAATCGTTTAAATCTTTATACATATAAAAATAGAAAGCAGTTTTTAAGTGTAATTGTATTTCACAATATTACTGTTTTACTGTATTTTTAAATGCAGCCCCAAACTTTTGAACAGTAGTGTATTAACAGTTTTTCACTGACCTGGAGGAGGTCCTTGAAATTGCTGGAGGTGTTGACCAAATCAGATAGACAGCTGTCTATCTTAGCCTTTGCATGATCCGAGCCCGCCCCCTGACTGAACAACTTGGCACAATCACTCTAAAATGGAAAGAGAGAAAACAATTCATCGTACCACAACAAGTTCGTTTTTTGGACTGCTTTTATGATATGTTTATGAGGCTTATAAAATTCTATCTGCATTAACTACATGGAAAAGATGTCAAAATTCCTCTTTTTGTGTTCCATGGAAAAAAGTCCTATATTTTGAGATATATAGGATATTTGCTTCTGGTGGTTGACTGAAAAACTAAATCAAAGTCATATCACACAGACCTCTAGATTCTTTTTCAGGGTGCTGATATTCTCACTGCAGACCTCCACATTATTGAGAGCCACCTGAGAAACAAACATATCAGATAACACACAGGAGTGTGTGTTTAGTGAGAACTAGGTACACGAAAACAAGTGAAAACGTGACATCATAAATTCAGACTGTGTTTAAGTTTGTGTGTTGTTTGTGTGAGATAGAAAGACTTGATGCTGACCAAGTAGGCACTCTTTGCCTGCTCCTGGCTCTCAATCCCAAGCGTTTGTGTGAGATTTGTTATCTTGCCATGCTGCAGGCTGCTCTGCATCAGACTGACGGCACTACTTACTCCACGCTGCAGGTCCTGCAGAGCACTGACTGGATATCCAGCTCGGAGCTTACATACTAACACCTCTCTGCATACAAAGAAAGAGATGCAAAGGGTATAGCGAATGATTAGATATTCAACAACAACGGTTTCCAAAAATTCTCTGAATCTTCAACCACCACTACAATAACTCTTCAAAATGCACAACAGTAACAAAATACACTGAGGCTAATTCAATTCCAAATTTGTGCGCATACCTGAAGTCTGTCTCCAGAACACTGGTCGCATGATTGATCATAGCGCACACACAGTCAGAGCTGCTGCTGGTGAGGGCCCGGCTGATGCATTTCTTCACTATGTAGAACACATCATCCACCATGCTGGAGCTCAGCTGACCCACCTCAGCTGTGTCCATGGCAACTGCCTATAAAATCATATTCATCATCCATTGAGGACATAGATTCTGCCAAAGAAATGTATCTGCAATTTAACAATGGCAAATGTCTTCCAATGTAGGAAGGTACACTATAACGATTAATAAAAGCATTTATTCCTTTTACAAAAAAAACTTTGACCCCAAACTTTTGAATGGACACTACATGTGCCTGACAATAGCTCTGACATCTCTGATGTTGTACATTGTAATGTACACAAGTTATTGACTGTATATGTGTCCCACCTTGTTGACGGACTCTCTCATGTAATACTCCTCCATGGGAATGTAATAGCCAATCAGCTCCTGCATAGTGCGGCTCAGCTGGCAGTTCTTCAGTAACTGCTCTAAACTCTGCTGATGCTCTAGAAAACAAAACATAAACAAACATGAACAATGCAAGCAAGTAATACTGAGGAGTATAAATTTACATAAATCAGCATATTCAACAACATATTCAACACATTTAGCCTACATCCAATTTGTATAGCCTAGTTAGTTACATATATTTATTTTTAACAGGCAATGATGTGTTGCCTATATGAGCATCATGTATTAATGTGCAGCAGCATTTGTGCTAACTTCTAGGCTACAGCTGATGACAGTTGTCATGACATGTACTTGCAGCAGAATTTTGTTTCATAGAGTAGTTTCATATCCCATAAAAAGCTAGGTGTTACCTTGTATAACCGCTTCATCTGCCATTGCATCTGCAACCTCAAAGTCAGCCACTATACGCCGCCTCAAGAATCGAAAGTACAGCTCGGCTCTTGAGTTCATTAAGGTAACCTCACATAACACTGGATCCAGGTCTCTAGATTAAACATACGACAACAAATAAAACGCCTTGTTAGTGCTGTCAAACGATTAATTGCATCCAAAATAAAAGTTTTTGTTTACATAATATATGTGTGTGTACTGTGTATATTTATTAGGTATATATATATATATATATATTTAAACACACACACATACAGCATATATTTTGAAAATATTTACATGAATATAATTTATATCATATATAAATATTTAATATATAAACGTAACATATTTTTTCTGAAATATACACATGCATGTGTGTGTATTTATATATACATAATAAATATACACAGTACACACACATATTATGTAAACAAAAACTTTTATTTTGGATGCAATTAATCTTTGACAGCACTACCCATGTATTCACAAGATAAACAAATAAACAATTATAACACAGACTGCACCTGGGTTCAATCTTTTCTGTAGCCATGCCCCTCATCATGCTGCTCTGGATAACCTGAAACTATAGCGAAACAAAAATAAAAAGTATTGTATAACTACATCAAAGTACACTTTATTCATGGTGCAAACATTAAGTATAGTACATAAACACACTAATGCAGCATACAGTATAGACACTACACACACCTTATTGTTATAATCTCTCTGTTGGATGAATTTGTCCACTATTTTCTGAGCCTGTTTATCACACTCATTTTGAAGGTGTGCGAGGAGTGTGTGCAGTCGGCCTGGTCCATAGTATGTTTCCACTATGGGCTGATGGGTTTCAACAATACGTGCAATACCTAACAGGTACAGACAAAGGCTGGCTGATCTCGATTTGTTTAAACATAATAAATATTGCTAAGTTAAACAGTGATGCTCTTACCTTCAAGAAGCAGTGTGAGTGTGTCAGCAAAAATGACCGGTGCCCTGCGTTCGCCGAGATCAGAGCCAACAGCCAGGAGTAAGTTCTCCTCTGCCTTACTGGCCAACTGAAAGAAAAGTAAGCAAAAGACACAACTTTTAATTTTAGAAGCCAAGTAACTAAACCAAAGCATTCTAAACTGATTTCAACGGTCATGTAAGGCAGGCATAAACACATGCACCTACCTGACTGCAAAGGTACTGAGCAAAGCGTGCAAGTCCCTGCTCATGCAGTCCCAGTAAAGGAAGGATCTTGAAAAAGCGCTCCACTTGAGGTAAGTCACCTGTGGCAACTGCCTCCTCCAGTCGCGTTGTGACAAGTGCCTTCAGATTGCGCTCTGCTTCCTGAAGCAATGCAAGGCTGGCTTCAACTGCACTGCCTGCACAATGTATAATATACAGATAACACAATAATGTATGATCTTATTCTGAGTATCTTGGTGCATTAGCTTAAACAATATATGCACAATGTCTATTGTTTCTACAAATCACATTTAACAATTTGCATAACAGTTTGTAACAGACTCTTACAACTTGTTCATAGCAGACAACTTACAGTTGCAGGGCAACCACATTAATATACAATGTAACTGATGTGCAGTAACAAGTGTGCAAACTCAACTGTTCAAAAGTATGAAACCAGTGAGAGTTTTTTAATAGAAATTAATACTGTTAATCAACAAAGATGGCATTAAAATGACAAATGTAATATTTAAGTTGTAAAATCTATTAAAAAAGAAAGCGGTTATTTTAAACTGTAATAATATTTCACAATAGAGGGATTTCTTTAGAAAAGATTTAGTGTATATTGTATAAAAGTATAGTATATATTAGTGGGGTGTAGTGTATATTATAGTAGATACAAGGGTGACTTATTAAACTGCAAAGCCATAACCATCCAACAAGTAGCTTTATAAGCTGTTAAAATGTCAGATTAATCATTCATTTGTTATGAATAATCATACAATTTTATTTGCATTCATTAACTTTCAAATAAAAAGAAAAAAAATCGAATCAGATAAAATACTTCTTTTGCCAAACATATTTAATTCACTGGACAAGAAACATGGTTATTGAAATATAAATAAATTTTTGTTGGATTGTTCAGCAAAAACATCCATATCATACATTCAATTTCTAACACCAAGCACCCTTGTCATATGCATACATATTTGAAAATGACTCAAAATTACAATTCAATAGTTTCAGTGATAATACTTGTTGCTAGAAAACCCCAAAAGGACTCACCCTCTCCACCCTGCTTGCTGAGCTCAATCACAGACTGGTCAAGAGAAAGATAGCGATGAATGTGGGCGGCAGCCTGCTCATAGTCCTGGTTACGCAAGGCTGTCTGAACACCATCTGTGCAGAACTTCAGATCTAGAATATCATCTGCCCTCTGAATTGCTTGGTACAGCCTTTTCTGAAACAGACCCAGGTGCAAAGCTTGAGTGGAAGCTGTCATACTGTCATTCTGATAGAGTGTACGTATCATACGAATGTGTATGTTGGGCACCTTGGTGAGGTCCAGCTGTCTGACTTTGCTGCTCACGTTCTCTGCCAGGCTGCAGGTGAAGCTGATCATGCCAGACAGCTGCACTGCATCTCCCTCGATCAGCTGCAAGTTGGGTCTGAGGAACACACAAAAACACAATTTATCAGCACACTATATTCTGTTTTCTCAGTTCAACAGTATACGTTAAGTGTCACACACACGCACGCACGCACGCACGCACACACAACACACACACACACACACACACACTCACACTCACACTCACACTCACACTCACACTCACACTCACACTCACACTCACACTCACACTCACACTCACACTCACACTCACACTCACACTCACACTCACACTCACACTCACACTCACACTCACACTCACACTCACACACACACACACACTCACACTCACACTCACACTCACACTCACACTCACCCCATCCTCTGCAAGGCGAGCATCTTTGTTTCTATGTTGCTCTGCTGTCCCATAAGAGCGCCCAACTCCATCTGCACTTCCGCCTGTCAGGGAGGTGCGTTTGTAAACAGTTTATGCCAATGCATAATCAACATGCACACAATCTCGCAGTTCAGGCACAAGTTAGTTTTTATATATATAATCAACAAATTAAAACAGCTGACGAGCGTTTGTCTAACGTTACCCTTCTTAGTAGTCCAGCTCACAGAGACTAACCAACACTGTGTCTCCACTAATAAATATTCACCTCTTCTCCACATAGCTGCGCATACACTCGCTCCAGATCCTCCAGCTCTGTCAGACCCTCTATGGTGTCGGACTGCACGGCGGAGAGCCCCGCCGGACCACCGCGACGACGCGCCGGTGAACTGACTTCATCCATGACAGCCCCACATCCACACAAACTGCGTCACTTCCGCTGACTCTAGCGCGTCACACAACTGTTAGTGTGCGACTTTACTCCCATCTGATGGTAGCTTTTTTTGTGTGTGTGAAAAGGTTAAATGCCTCTCAAGCAGTGTGTGCAACATAATTCATAATTCATGTTACATTTGTTACTTCATGAATTTAATTGTAAACTTATGGGAATGTTTAGGCCTACATTAGGCTCTAATAAAGAATTTGGTATGCAGTGTGGTTATATAGGTTCAACAGAATACAAAAGTCACTATAGCTTTTCTTTACCATTGTACAGTGATAGAATTAGATTAATATCATGGCACTTGGCTATCTGTTGCATCGTACCGAATTACTATTATTATATTACAGTGGTGGCTAAAATTATTAGAACACTAGTATTTAATTTTCACCAGCTAAAAATGTTTTTAAGTCAGTTATTTCTACCTTTTGTTGTAGTGTGTCAGTAGGAAATATCATTTTACATTTCCAAACATTCATTTTGCCATTAACTGTAATAATCCAGTGAGATTTTTGTCTGACAGCAACCAGTGCTCCACACAGAGATCTGATCTCATCATCATCCAGTCTGTCTGGAATGACACGAAGAAACAGAGCAAACTAAAACAGACTAAATCCAGAAGAACTGTGGCAACGTCTCCAAGATGCTTCAAGAAGACTACCTGCAAAGCTACAGTACTGTTAAAAGTTTTAGCTATTAACTAAATTAAATCAAAGTTTGGTGTGACCATCCTTTGCGTTTAAAGCAGCTTTTGCCCTATAGGTGCACTTGCACATAGATTCTCAGGTAGCTTCTGGATTTAGTCTGTCTCAGTTTGTTCTGTTTCTCCAGACAGACTGGATGATGATGAGATCAGATCTCTGTGTGGAGCACAGACTCCTTGTGCAAACAAAAATTCCACAGAATTATTCAAATTAATGGCAAAATGAATGTTTGGAAATCTAAACTGATATTTGCTACTGACACACTCCAGCAAAAGTTAGAAATAACTGACTTAAAACCATTTTTAGCTGGCAAAAATACTAACCATGCCATATACATAGTTGTTTACATAATGAATACCATGGTACTACAATTATTCCATGTCCAAAAACACATTAGATGAATACTAGGAGTGACAGATTCAGTGACAGTGAAACTGAGAGAGGAGTTGATAGTAATGGCTTTATATAAGAGAGAGTAATCCGTCTTTATTCTCCTCTCCCTTTAGATGTACGCAGTGACATAACCCAAGCCTGTCAATCAGACAGAGGCTTGTCCACTGCGTGTGTATCAGAAAAGTACCATGCTGGAATAAAAATGACAGTCCTACTGGGATTTTTTCCATCTGTTTGTAAATTGTGTGTGAGTGTGACAGAGAGAGTGAGAGAGAAAGACAGAGCGACAGCCAATACTCTAAGCCATATAGAACCATTGTCATTGGAGGTATATACTTATTTTCTGATTTGATGAACAGTGTAGCCGGAAATAATCTTTAATCCCACAGTTTTCCCCCTTTTTAATAATCAGATGTCACAGCCCCCGTTTATCCATCAGGCTCAACAGTTGGCTTCAAAGTTGCAGTTCTTTTCTGAAACAGGAAGGTGAATGGGACCTCAAGAAGGTTTGGATTATTTGTACATGATTGTGTGACTGTAAAGTGCTCCAGTGCGTGTGGTCTTCAGTTTAAAAATCTGGCTGTTCAGCGGAATGCATCTGCTGCTGTTCATTTTATTCTGCCTCAGTGAGTAAAAGTCTTTTATATATTCAAACTTGTGTTTGTGTGTGTAATATAGTTGGTCTTATCATATATATATATATATATATATATATATATATATATATGTATGTATGTGTGTGTGCTTTTCAAATTCTTGAATAGATGTGAATTAGTGGCCATGGTCATAGGGTATAGTGTGCTATACAAACCATAAAAGTAGTGTCCAAAAAGAAAGACATTTTTTTTGAGGCTCAGAAATTATCCATTATATTTCTCTTTTTAAATAAAGATAGAGGTGGTTTGAGGAGAGAAATGGGAAAAATGGAGGAGATTTGTCTTTTCGAGCTGTTCTGCAGCCAGATTAAATGTCATTTTTGCTCTGGGTCTAATCCCTAGATTAATCCATGTGACGTACGACAGCATCTAACAGTATAGTGAAATAGACACACATAGACATAAAGATACATTAAATGTTACCACATACAGAGTATGTGGTCTTAATAATATCATAGAGTTCCAGAAGACATGTCAGCTAACTGTTCTGTTTATGCCATATGCCAATTGTACAAATTAAAGTGCGTTTGCAATCAGATATCTATTTTAATACGGTTATGTATTATATTTACATTTTTGTCTTTTTAAATAATATTATTAATGTGTTACTTATTTCCTATTTTATTGCCTAATTCCTGACTGCACTGTGTCTGTACTTTCTTCTGAATTGGACGCTCCTGTCACCAAGGCAAATTCCTGTGTGTAAACATATCAGGCAATAAAGGTCTTTCTGATTCTGATTCTGAACTGCTTTAATTTTTCTCTCTCTCAGGTCTCTGTTCTTCTGTGCTGAGTGCAGCAGTAACACCTCCATGTAGTTCTGTATACAGGGGCTTTGCTGAATGTCTGGTCACTCTGGGTGACAGTGTGAGCTCCAAGGCTGATAACCCACAGGACATCAACTCCATTTGCAAGTGAGCCACGTTCACACACAAATACACCCTCAACTGAATACAACTTTTTAAATACAAGTACAATACATTGCACTTTTTCACATCTGCAGGTCATGGGATGCTTTCCAGGTGTGCGTGAGTGGTGTCTTGTCAGGCTGCCGAGGTGATGCAGCGGAAATTTGGGAATCTTTGAGAGCGGAGTCCAGGAAAACAGCATTTGCTGGTAACATCTACGACATGTGTGCCAGTCGTACTGAAGCTGCGACTGCAACCACACCTCTGGTTCCCAACACTGATCAAAGCAACCAGGAAACACTCAAAGGACTCGCTCATTCTGTCAGCCACTCAGTCAGTAAAGAGCTGCTCCTGATATGCTTCTCGCTTCTCCTGCTGCTTTGGATGTAACCTATCCTTTTAACATAGCTGAACTGATGCCAGTGACAGTGCTATAGGCACATGCATGTATCTGCATAGACGCTTTATCTTGGTATATTTAATTTAATTTTATGTGTAATTTAATATGTAAACTCTTTGGTAAGATATTCAAGACATTATGTATTTGCTTGTTTAACAATTATGACAAAAAGGTTTCTATAAAAATCAGTGATGTTCTGGACTCAAATCTAATGGTTTGGTACAGGATTTAATATCTGTAGTTTGTGTCAAAAGATCATAATTATATAATATTATATATAATTATATTAATAAATTATATATTGTTATATATGTTATATATAAATTATATACAAGTGTCTTGAAGTATTTGCAAAATACATTTATAATATCTGCAATAAAATTCAAAGCAAAATAATTTAGTTATTGTATTTTTTATTATTTTATTTAAATGATTAATATGATTTGGTGATTTAAAGTTAAACACCTTTTATAAATCAGGTAGACATCAAATTGAAAGGGATAGTTCCCCCAAAATTTTAATTCTGTCACTAAGTACTCGTCGTTCCAAACCCGTAAGACCTTCCTTCATCTTCGGAATACAAATTAAGATATTTTTGATGAAATCCAAGAGCTTTCAGACCCTCCATAGTCAGCAACGCAACTGTAATGTTCCCAGGCCCAGAAACGTAGCAAGGACATCAGTAAAATAGTCCATGTGACATCAGTGGTTCAACCGTAATTATACGAAGCTACGAGAATACTTTTCGTGTGCAAAGAAAACTAAAATAATGACTTTATTCAACAGTTCTTCTGTCGGGATACTGGTCATGATACTCTCCATAATGGTGGAAGACGGAAGAATTTTTGAATAAGTATTCTCTCGTACAAGAAAGTATTCTCGTAGCTTTGTAAAATTATGGTTGAACCACTGATGTCACATGGACTATTTTACTGATGTCCTTACTATTTTTCTGGGCCTGGGAACATTTCAGTTGCGTTGCTGTCTATGCAAGGTCAGAGAGCTCTCAGATTTGATCAAAAATATCTTCATTTGTGTTCTGAAGATGAACAAAGGTCTTACGGGTTTGGAAGGTCATGAGGGTGAGTAATTAATGACAGAATTTTCATTTTTGGGGGAACTATCCCTTTAAATACATATCCAATATTTGTGCTGGAGCGGCTCCAGGGTTGGGAAACACTACAATATAGTTTCATCCATTAGTTCAAGCCTTAAATCTCAGTCCAGTTCTTCAATCAGAATAGTCTTTCTGTTTTCCTCTGGCTTTGGGAAGTCATCCCCTGCTTCTGCTTGACTGGAGAAGGCAGGACTCTGCTGCTTGACTGAGGCTCTCTTAGTGGAGACATTAATAAGCAGCTGAGATTGATCAGTGGCCTCAGCATCTGACTGAGGCCAGTGATACAAACTTGTAACAGCTTCTGATTCAGTGTCATCACCAGAGATGACCTGAATCTTTGGACGGATCACACTCTGAAAAATGTAACATGTAAATCACATTGAGATACTGTTATAGTATTTATTCATATTTTAATGGTTTTAGTTTTAGTTAATTGAAATAACCCTGCACTTACCTGTGACATTGTTGGGAATATCAGGCTATTTTCTTCATCATCAAGGTCTGGAAGATCCTAGGGAGAAATCGGGAGCATCAAAAATGTTATTTGCAGTGAAATATTATACAAAGTTTCTGTATAAATCAAGTATACAGTGCAGGGAAATTATATTCATTGTAAAAGCAAATTGAAGTTATATTGATGTGAGCAATGGTGTAAGTACTCACATCAATTGTTAACGCTGGTTCGTCTGACAGGGTGATAGACTCTATTTCATCCTCAGAGATCAGTTCAGTGACGAGAGCTCCAGGACCTGCGACTGAGACTAAACCGCTCTGAGGTGACTGTGATGGTTTTGTGGGAACACTCATTTTCTGGTTCTTCTCCTCTTCAGTCTTCAATCCCCGGGTTGATTCACCAGTCTGTTTCTGGTCAAATGATGGATGGAGAATCTGTTCTGAAACTGTCTGCTGTCTCTCTGGTTTTGACTGGTCGGAATGATTTTGATCAAGTGTTGTTTGGATAATCTGTTCCTCATCAGATGCAGATTTGAAAGTGTAGTCCATCTCTGAAGCTGATGGATCAGTTTGTTCTTGCTCTGTTTTTGAAGAGTCACTCTCTGCAGTTTCTGGTGTTTCATCTTGAGGGCTCTGATCCTCAGTAACAGGACTTGGAGGCTCTATGATTCATAAGGGTAAGCCATAAGTTTTTAATGATGCTGTATGTCAGAAGGAGGTGAGAAAATATGAGTGTGTATACACTACTGTTTAAAAGTTTGGGGTTGGTCATTTTTTGAAAGACGTCTCTTATTATATTACAGTAAGAACATTAATATTGTGAAATATTATTGCAATTTAAAATAGATCATTTTAATTGTATTATGTAATTTATTCCTGTGATGGACTCAAGCCTTCAGTGTCACATCAGAAATCCTTCTAATATGTTGACTTGGTGCTCAAGATTTCAACAATTCTTATTATCGATGTTGAAAACAGTTGTGCTCCGTAATATTTTTGTAGAAACTGGATATATTGTTTTCAGGATTTTTTGATGAATATAGAGTTCAAAAGCTCTTGTAACAGTCAAACTGTGTAAAAGTCTTTGTCAATTGAATGCATCTTTGCTGAATAATAGTTTAAATATATTTGTAAAAATCTTAGTGTCCACAAACTTTTGAACGATAGTTAATATGCGAACAGATTGTGTGTTTGCCTTTCTCCAAAAGCTCTCGAGCCTGCCGTCTTCTCAGTGCGTTCTCTTTGATAGCAGTCAATGCATCAAAACTCTCCTGGATCTTCCTTCTCTCTCTCGTTTCCCACATTTCTCTTTCTTTTCGCTCACCTTCCAAACCACCAGCTGCCCATGCCTCTGCACATGCTCTGTGAATTAATGCAAACCTCAGTAAAAGACTCAACAACTGCCTCTAGATGAACTAGTAACAAAGACTATCCCTAACTGACCATGGCGGTTGTCAGACAATTAATGCTATGGGACTTTAGCACAGAAATCAATGTTGCTAACCTGTCTTTTGGAAAAACAGGCCGGTCATCTAGATAGGTCAGCTGCTTGAAATGCACAATCAGAGTCTTCCTGTAGTTTGGGATTTTTTTGATGACCTCATTACCCATTAGATTTAACACCCGCTGGCAAATTCAAATAAACATGAATTAACTTCTAGCAATTCAGTCCACATCCAGAAGTAAGCATCACTGATCATGTATACGAGGAAAGAGAAACACTGTTTTTACCAAGTCGGGCATTCTCTCTAGAACACCGACGAGGGCTGGATCTCTGATGCGGTTGTGAGACAGATCAAGAACACTGATGGATAGACAGTGTGATAGCTCCTCCATGTCACACACATTCTCCAGCGAGTTATGGGAGATCTGCAGCGTGGACAGCTCACTCAAGCAGGCTGAAAAACAAATGATAAATGACTTTATGGTATACTGAGGAACAGGGAACAGTTGTTAACAATACATTGTGTGGTGCCATTTTCATATGTGTGCGCAAGTACTCACATAAGTTCTCAATGACCTTGATATAATTGTTTGAGACATTGAGGGTGCAAAGCTTGCCGAGTGGTTCCAGGTTTTCCAGAGTATGAATTAGATTCTGATGGAGGAAAAGACAGCGAAGCTCTGTCTGATTCTCCAGATTTTCAATCTTGCGAATGCCATTGCATTCCAGCCATAGGCAGCGCAGGCCAGTATATTCCTCCAAACCCTCAATACAAGAAAAACCTACAATGCAGAAGTAACAACTTCACATAAAGAGCTGAAAAGAAAATAACAAAGATGAAATATTAAAACAGTCTTACAAATGCAGACATTTCAAACCTTTATAGTGAAGATAAAGTGTGTCATTCAGCCTTGGCGTCAGGTACAGTTTGTTTTTCTTGCAGTGCTCCCTTAAAAACGGTTTGGTAATTCTTAGAAGATACAAGAAAAATAATTTAGTATTTCGCTTTTCTTAGACAACAACATATGTTTTCCCAAGCAAATATTATACAGGTATTATAAAAATGCATATTTTATTACCTGGGACCTGAATGCATTGTGCTGCTCTCTGATGCTTTGGTTTCTATTGTGTCAGCGTTAACCTTTGTCCCATCAGCAGCTGCACTCTGAGACTCCTGGCCTTTGAAAGACATTTTATTACTATTGGGCATTTTCCAAAAAAAAGGGTACAAAATCAGACATTTAATTTATTTTATTTTTTTTTAAAGTAAGCTTTTCTTCCCTTTTATCAAATATAATTATCAGTAAAAGGAGGCATGTACCCTTAATACAATATTTATTGTCTACCAAATGTTGGTTTGTGGGTGTATCAGTTTTCATCATTTTACAGAACAGGAAATAATACATTAGCATGGCTGTATAAAATGTTGGAAAGAGATAATTGATTTTTTGATATTTAAATATGTAAACGGTAATTAAAAATAGCTAATAATTAGTTAAAATAATATGTTTATATTATTTCAATTGTTCGATGCAATTAAGACCTATGTGTCAAACATGCTACTTTTAGTTTAGGCTATGTTAGAAAATAACTTAATGTCGCGGCACCCAAAGTGTAGTTATTACAGTATTTGAGTCATTGCCATTTTTGAATAAAAGTCGGAGCAGCATGATATAACCACGAAAGAACAGAATTTAAAGATAATATCGCGGTACATTACAAAATGATTAACGCCGGACAAGACTTTGTTGCTGAGTCAGTTGTTTTAAGTCTGTTATTTTGGTGATGGCCTTTGAATGTAGACTTTACGTTAAGTTACCTGGAGCAAAAGACACAACACCTTCACTCGTGTCTTTTTCTTCAGATTCAGCCCTGGTTCCTTCCTCCGCGTTCACTGTTGTGGATACGTTCATTTTTGTCCGCATTTCGCAATAATATTGGACCACCGACCAACCGTTAACTTAGCTTAATAGCTGCTAACAGTGCTTGCTTTGAAGTTTGCTTAGTTTCCATAGAGACCTCTCAAGAGGCGGTTCGATCTTCTGCTGGCAGGTGGCAGGCAGCTACTGAATCCTACAGAAGCGTGGTCTGCCTGTGCTGATAGACCTACTTACGGATTTAAAAAAGTCTACAACCAGAGAAGACTGAGGAAATTCTTTTAGCATATGCAGCAATGTACTATAATAAAGTACAGATAGCCTACTGAGAGGACAAGTAGGCTGTGCTTTTTTATTGCAGTATGTTAGTGCAGAAAAAATTTGGCCCGTTTCCAAAGAAAACTACCCAAATATCAGGTTGTAAACCCAAAATTTAATCAGCTTTTAATGAAGACAAATTGAGTGGATATATAAATTCTCAATTGATTTTATAACAATTTAGTTGTGGGTTAAGGATACAATGTGTACAGTACATGTGCTAACTGGACATTGCAGAAGAAAAAGATATCCTATATATATATATATATATATATATCATGTTCTTCTTATTAATTAGGCCTATACCTACAAAATACATGCTACCAACATTCAGCATATAGCCTGTTTAATGTCATATTGAAACTCTAAATGAATGATAGATGCTAGTAGGCTAAATATGCCAGTGCAGCATCTATTTCAATATCACTCAATAATTAATTTTCAGTGTCAGGGGCAGTTCTAAACCTTTATTATGTGGACTTTGTATCTAATGGTCTCTCTGAGGACTAAGCCCCCTCACGAAATCCTAGAACCGCCCCTGGTGAAAGAGTACCATTTAAATAAATTTGTACATGTAATTTTAACATATACATTTTCAACTGGAAAATAAAATGAAAATCCTTATTAGAAGTCAACAAAACTACTGATTAGTCGAACTAATATTGTAACTTTATGTTTGGATACTGATTTGCACTTCACTCCTCCTAGATAAAGAATTGGAGGAGTTTTCTGTCTGTGTCTGATTTATAGCTTCTCACAACACAAACATGGAAACATGCTATTAGCATCCTTCCTTAAGAAAACATACAGCAAAGAGTCAGCGAGTGGATTTAAATACACTAAGATTCCTGACACTGTAAGTAAATAACCATGACATCTTAGACCAAGCTCAAAGGAAAACATAATAATGATGTTTTGAATAATGCTTGGCAGAAACAACACAGTGTAATTGAAAAGTACTAGGGCCAGAATCCTCAAAATCCTCTTCTGTTCATCAGGGGTTATTGCGACCGAATTAGACAGTGCCTTCCATGATCCCACAAAGGAAAACAAAACCAATGGATAAGGCATCAATAAAACAAATACACTTAAGATAAATGCATGTCCCACCTTCCCTTTAAGTGCAACAATCACATCGATCACAATAATTCCACTTGGTATTGCCCAAACCAACAAGCATATCAGAGCTAAATTTTTAGAAGTATTATGAAGTCGGTACCAAACAGGGTATTTGATCATTATGTATCTTTCCACAGAGATACAGACCATGAAGCCAACATTAACTATTATGCACCAGGAATAAATATAGTAGATAAATGCAATAACAACACTACTTTTAGTTTAGGCTATGTTAGAAAATAACTTAATGTCGCGGCACCCAAAGTGTAGTTATTACAGTATTTGAGTCATTGCCATTTTTGAATAAAAGTCGGAGCAGCATGATATAACCACGAAAGAACAGAATTTAAAGATAATATCGCGGTACATTACAAAATGATTAACGCCGGACAAGACTTTGTTGCTGAGTCAGTTGTTTTAAGTCTGTTATTTTGGTGATGGCCTTTGAATGTAGACTTTACGTTAACTTACCTGGAACAAAAGACACAACACCTTCACTCGTGTCTTTTTCTTCAGATTCAGCCCTGGTTCCTTCCTCCGCGTTCACTGTTGTGGATACGTTCATTTTTGTCCGCATTTCGCAATGATATTGGACCACCGACCAACCGTTAACTTGGCTTAATAGCTGCTAACAGTGCTTGCTTTGAAGTTTGCTTAGTTTCCATAGAGACCTCTCAAGAGGCGGTTCGATCTTCTGCTGGCAGGTGGCAGGCAGCTACTGAATCCTAGCCTTTAAGTGCAACAATCACATCGATCACAATAATTCCACTTGGTATTGCCCAAACCAACAAGCATATCAGAGCTAAATTTTTAGAAGTATTATGAAGTCGGTACCAAACAGGGTATTTGATCATTATGTATCTTTCCACAGAGATACAGACCATGAAGCCAACATTAACTATTATGCACCAGGAATAAATATAGTAGATAAATGCAATAACAACACTGAATGTACAAAAATTCAGCACAGGTCTGAAACAAATCTGTATGAAATCAGTAATAAAGAGGTTTATGACAAATACGGGAACAGTATGGTTAGTTCTGATCAGACAGCACAATCCATAGAATGCCAAAGACATGACAAGAAACTCAACTGAGAAAATAATCCATATAACCACAGTTTGAACTGTGGATCCGCAAAGCATTGTTTCCAGAAATATCCACTTCAGATCATTTATTTCCAGCTGGAGTGTCCTATTGGTTGACATTCCAGTATAAACCATTTCCTGTGTCTTGGATGGACTCTGGATGGTCAAAAGATGACAAAAATTAGTTATTTTTTGTTCTGTTATCATAGTTTCCTTATTAGTCTTTATAGTTTCCAAAATATATTATTAACCATAGTTAAGCTGCAAAAGTTTGTGTCCTAACCTTTTTTCTTTTCAGTCTTGATTGCCATTTATTTCCAGCTGGAGTGTCCTATTGGTTGACATTCCAGTATAAACCATTTCCTGTGTCTTGGATGGACTCTGGATGGTCAAACGATGACAAAAATTAGTTATTTTTTGTTCTGTTATCATAGTTTCCTTATTAGTCTTTATAGTTTCCAAAATATCAGATGCAGCAATATTTAAAAAAAATTATATTATTAACCATAGTTAAGCTGCAAAAGTTTGTGTCCTAACCTTTTTTCTTTTCAGTCTTGATTGGCCAATTTTCTGAAAATATCCTCCATCTGTAGTAGTCTGTGAATTTAGGAAGGCCCCCTAAGAACATACACAATCTCAGTGGATGGAGGAAACAGATAAATACTCCGTCCAGAGATTCTCTGTCAGTGTCATTTAAATGAAAGCCAGTCTTAAGGAAAATACAATTTGTGAAATCAAAGGGTTCACCCTCAAGTTGTTACAGATTTATGTGAGTTTCTTTCTTCTGTTGAACACAAAGAAGATATTTTGAAGAATGTTGGTAACCAAACAATTTCTGGTTCCCATTTGAATTCTACAGAATTTTTGTTGCAAAAAAACAACAACTAAAGAATGATGAATATCCCTTTAACACCAGTCCACAGATGAATGCCATCTGAAGTCCACCTTTACAAACATTCTCTTCAGCTATAGCATTTTATTTAATTGTTAATGGCAGAAAGAGACAATGGAGTTTCTTTCTTCTGTTGAACACAAAGAAGATATTTTGAAGAATGCTGGTAACCAAAAAATTTCTGGTTACCATTTGAATTCTACAGAATTTTTGTTGCAAAAAAACAACAACTAAAGAATGATGAATATCCCTTTAACACCAGTCCACAGATGAATGCCATCTGAAGTCCACCTTTACAAACATTATCTTCAGCTATAGCATTTTATTTAATTGTTAATGGCAGAAAGAGACATAATAATGGAAATGTACAGTCCATGTATGTGCAGATTTCAAAAGGAAGCTTTGTGTAGATATTTAAGATGTAAAATCAATTTCGATAATAGTTTTACTGATGAAAACATGTGAAACAGATTAGAGGAGCTTCATTAAACACAAATTATAAGCAGGCATAAAAAAAACTAAGTAAATTGCTAATTAAACATACAATGTTAATTTATAGAGCACAATAGAAACATGTCTGAACATACCTTGGATTCTGTGGTGATTATTTGTCGATTCAGTTTTTGTGAAAGTGACACTTCAATTGAGCTGAAATACATGACAGATTTTTTCTATAGTCTCATTATATATATATATATATATATATCATGTTCTTCTTATTAATTAGGCCTATACCTACAAAATACATGCTACCAACATTCAGCATATAGCCTGTTTAATGTCATATTGAAACTCTAAATGAATGATAGATGCTAGTAGGCTAAATATGCCAGTGCAGCATCTATTTCAATATCACTCAATAATTAATTTTCAGTGTCAGGGGCAGTTCTAAACCTTTATTATGTGGACTTTGTATCTAATGGTCTCTCTGAGGACTAAGCCCCCTCACGAAATCCTAGAACCGCCCCTGGTGAAAGAGTACCATTTAAATAAATTTGTACATGTAATTTTAACATATACATTTTCAACTGGAAAATAAAATGAAAATCCTTATTAGAAGTCAACAAAACTACTGATTAGTCGAACTAATATTGTAACTTTATGTTTGGATACTGATTTGCACTTCACTCCTCCTAGATAAAGAATTGGAGGAGTTTTCTGTCTGTGTCTGATTTATAGCTTCTCACAACACAAACATGGAAACATGCTATTAGCATCCTTCCTTAAGAAAACATACAGCAAAGAGTCAGCGAGTGGATTTAAATACACTAAGATTCCTGACACTGTAAGTAAATAACCATGACATCTTAGACCAAGCTCAAAGGAAAACATAATAATGATGTTTTGAATAATGCTTGGCAGAAACAACACAGTGTAATTGAAAAGTACTAGGGCCAGAATCCTCAAAATCCTCTTCTGTTCATCAGGGGTTATTGCGACCGAATTAGACAGTGCCTTCCATGATCCCACAAAGGAAAACAAAACCAATGGATAAGGCATCAATAAAACAAATACACTTAAGATAAATGCATGTCCCACCTTCCCTTTAAGTGCAACAATCACATCGATCACAATAATTCCACTTGGTATTGCCCAAACCAACAAGCATATCAGAGCTAAATTTTTAGAAG